GGAACAGGAAACCACAGTACTTATTCTGAAAGGTTTGCACAATTCTAGGTCACACAGTTGAGCTTTGACTTAAGCATTCCCCTCCAGTTGCTAGTCTACCCTTTCCCCAATATAGCATCATTCCCATTCCTAGTGGCTTCCACTCCCACCGGGGACCAGTGCTCTCCTGTTCCCCAGCACTTCCCTTTGGAAGGCAAGCCTCCTAATCAGTTAATTCACACAAGAGAATCCCCTCTGCCCCTACCTCCCTCTCAAAGGTATTGCATTTGTGAGCAAAATGCCTGGAATAGGAAACACTTTGTCCCAAACAGATTAATCTCTAATCATGGAAGACTTTCAGGTGCTGGGGAACTAGACAAAAAAATAAGGTCCTCAATCAAGCAGGAGCCCATTCCAATTATGAATCATGCCAACCCAACCATGTCACCTCCATGTCAGGGTGGAAGAACGAGGTATATAGAAGGGTGAAATCTCCAAATTTGTATCCTAGATCAGTGTCCTTCCCCTTCCCTCTTATGCCTTCTCGCCATGCCAGGCCCCCACCCCCAACAGGCACCTGCTCCTTCACCTTGGGTAAAAAGTTCAGTACCATTTGCCCATAGGTCACAGGAGAGTCTATTTCCTGCCGCCTCACTCTGATAACTAAAGGATAATAGTCCTGGTGCTTATTTAGGGCTAGTTAGAGGAGAACCCAGAGAGGCACTACTTCATCTTATTACCTTGGACAGAGCCCTTGATGTTCTTCTCATCTGTAAAGTGCTGAGGAAAAAGCAACTGGGCTACCAGCAGTCATCAGAGCCACCCTAGTCCTCTGCCTCCCAGCACCCCAGCCTCCTCAAAAAGGCACACCTCCACCAAACGGCCCCACCTCAATCATACTTCACAGGCTACCTTTCTATTTTCTCAGCTGGCCGCTCCTTGTCTCTTCCTCCTCCCTGTTTGAAACAAAAAAAATCCCCGAGTGCCTGGCTGGAGTTGGGTGAGCATATGAATCTCAAGTTCTGTGATATCAAATCACAGCTTCCTTCTTGCAGGCTCCATAATTCCCTCCCAGAGATCAGAGAGACCAAGAGTTCAAAACAAATGCATTAATGCAGGGAGGGGGTGCAGCAAAGAGAAAGAGGAGAAATATTTGGGGAGACTCTATAGGCCCAGCAGAGAGCAGGGAGATAGAGGGAGGTAGCTGGGCTCCTCACATCCCCAGCTAAGGTATTAAGCTACTATTGCTGCCACAGACCTTAGTGAAACAACGGCATCTCCTCCTGCCACTTCTAGCAGACAGTCTGCATACAAATCCTCTCTGCTGTGCATAAGGAAGCCCAGGCTTCCTAGACAGGGAGGGGCTGCCTCCTGATTTCACTCACAGCCAAGACTGGACCCTGGAGACCCATTAGCAGAGTGAAAGTTGGCCAGCCACTTGGGAGGACCAGGTTTTCATCTCACTGTTGTAGTGTCCTCCCCCTCAGTCCTGCCGACCAGGCTCTGCTGCCCTGAGAGGTGGAGGAAGGAGACCCTGGCCAACCTAGGGCCTGAGGGAAAGGCAAGAGCACAAGCCTGAAAGCCCAGACACTTTGAGTCATTTTCTAAAGCACTTAGTGCATGGCCTTGACAGAGACACTTTCCTTCTGCACCTCTGTCAAATGAATCTTGGAAAATAATGATGCTGGAAGTGACCTTAGGGAATCTGTAGTATCGTGCCCTCATTTTACAGATGGAGAAAGGGAAGCTAATAAGGTTGCCCAAGTGACTTGTCCAAGATAACACAGCTAATAGTAGCAAACCTGAGTCTGGAATCTAAGCCTTTTTACTAAATCTAATTACCTTTTTACTAAATCGTGATGCCACCTGATGATCTCTGACCTCTGTGTTCTGCCACGAAACTGAACGGGAAGGGATTATGAAGCACTCTCCCTCCAGAGAGGATCATGCTTTTATTCTGATGGTGCCTGAATACAGCTGACAATAATTAGAAACATGTAGAAAGCAAGTATTTATTCTATAAATTAGACACCAAATTCCCTATAATAAAAAGTAAATTTATGCATCAAGTAGGAGGGCTCTATTATTTATAAATCTCTATTCTCATTGATTAATTTTATGTGTCAACTTAGCTAGGCTAGGGTTTCCAGTGGTTTGGCCAAACACTAGTCTAGTTGCTCTTCCATAATGTAATCTAATGCCTTGGCATATGTTATTCTTTATGCTTGAAACGCCCTCCCTCCAGCCCACCAGGCAGTCTCCTTGCACACCTCCAGGAGGCACCATTTACTGAGAAGAGAATGGGAATAGCAGGCCCTGTAACTATGCCGTGCAATGGTACTTGAGCTGACTGGTACTTCAGTGAAGCATGAAGTAGCCCCCTGTGCATTAGTCAGTGGAGGAAGAAAATTTTCTCTAGGCTCCCAGAGAGTTTTGTTTCTATCTCAGTGAGTGCATTTACCATGCTTTATTGTCACTTGTCTAATTACATGTTTATGACCCCTATGAGACTGCATTTTTCATAAAAAGGAGATATATATTGTTTATTATTGTATCCCCAGCACCAAGGACAACGCTTGGCCCAAAGTTAGCTCTCAGTAATCACTTGTGGAATGATTTATGAAAGAATTCATCACTCAAAAGTCTTTAAGGCATCACAGAATAGAAAAAAGTACATGGACTTTGTAGTCAGACAGACTTTGGTTGGAACTCCTGCTCTGTTACTTGCTAGCTGTGGGAACTTGGCAAGTCATTTACCCTTTCTCAGGCTGTTTCCTCTTCTACAAAACAAATCTAGTAACCTCACAGTAAACAAGCAAAATAATTACAAAATACACGAGGAAACAAGGCACTCTGAGCGAGAACTAGCAGAAAGTATACACAACAGAATCAGATCCAAAAATATTCCACATATTAGATTAACAGGTACAAATTATAAAATAACTATGCCTAATATGCTTAAATAAACAAACAAGACTAAAAATATGAGTAAAATGTAAGCTACCACACAAATGACCAGCTTTGAAAATAAGAAAATTAGAACATTTGAAAATAAAAAAATTAATAACTGGAATTTAAAACTCAATTAATTGGCTTAATAATGTTTTAAACATAGCCAGTGGGAGAATCCATGAATTAGAAAATATAAGTTTGAAGAAATTATCCATCAAGAAGCACAGAGAGAGACGAAGAGATGGGCAATATGGTCAGAGATTAGAGACATGGAAGATACAATGAGAAGGTCCAACATACATCCAATTAGAGTTTCAGAAGGAAAGAAAGAATATGGCAGACATAAAGACAAACAGCTGGGAGAATTTTTCAGAAGTGATGAAAGGCAAAATTATGAAACTTTTAGAAGACAAAAACTGTATCTTTATGATTTCAGAGTAGGGAATTATTTCTTTAACAAGATAAAAAGTGCATACCATAAACATATCTACTTTCAGTAAGAACTTACATTCATCTAAAGACACCATAAAGAGTAACCAACACCTAGGAGAAGGTATTTGCTACACACACCACTGACAAGGGATTAGGAGACAGATTATGTGAAATATTCTACATCAATAAGAAAAAAAAATAGAAAAATATTGAAAATAAAAGCAAAAAATCAGGACCAGGCATTTCAAAGAGGAAACATAAATGGCCAATAAACACATAAAAAGAGGCTCAATTTCATTAGTGATCATCCAAATGCAAATTAAAATACAATAAAATATTGTTACCGCACCTACCAAATTGGCAAAATAAGAAGTCACACAATATCAAATGATGAAAGGATATGGAACAACTGGAACTTGTACATACAGCTGGTGGAAAAGTACATTGATACAAACTTTTTGGAAAACAATTTGTCATTATCTAGTAAAATTAAACATTCACATATGCTGTGATCCAGCATTTCCCCTTGCAGATGCACAGCCTACAAACTCCTGCATATATGCATTAGGAGACATGCATAAAGTTGTTTATAGCAACACCGTTTTTATTTTATTTTTAGCAGCACCATTTTTAAAAGCAAAAACACAGGAGAAAACTAAATGTCCATCCACTTTAAAATGTATCAACAGTGTAGGACACACCTATACAGTGGGATATGGTAGTAAAGGGGATTGGTGGGCAGAGGTGATATTCACAATATTAAAGACTAATGACACTGGCACTGATCAATCAGAATGTAGGCCTGATCCATCCAACTGGAAGTCAGCTGAATGCTGAACCAGTGCATGCTAGTTTAGGAATACTGTTACTGAATAAAAAAAGCAAGTTACAGAAGAACACTTAATAATGATTTCATATATGTTTAATTTTGCATATAACAAAACATACAAAATTAAACAATACATAGTTCAGAAACATATAGCAAAAAGCAAGGAAATAATAGATGTGAAACTCAGGAGATTGGTTACCTCAGAGGGGACGATGAACAAGATGAGACACAATGAGAAGGGAGGACACAGAGGGGATTTATTTCTTAAACTGTATGTTGCGTACACACGAGGGTATTCATTGTATTATATTCTTAATATCTTACACATATTCCTTAAATATTATTTTTGTAGACTCAGCATTTAATAATAAAAATTTTTTAAAGGATTAATGAATCACAGAATGAAATCTGAATCTTGATTTCAGCATTTATTAGCAGAATGACTTTGGGTAACTTGTTTAATCTGTTTGAATCTTAGTTTCCACCTCTGCAAAATGGGGATGATAACTATCTCAACACTGTTGAAAGGAGCAAATGTAAAAAGCTGAATACATTATCATATGGGTTTGCATTACTAACATCTCCTCATTCCCACTTCCAATGCCAAACAGATAGATTCTATTTTTCATGCCCTTAGGAAGCTTTTATCGAAAGTATCTAGCCACTCTGCCATTAATTCTAGTCCTCAGAGACACTCCCCCTAGCCTGCTTGCTTCTAATGATTGAAGACACATGTCAAGTCTTTGTTCTTCCCTCTCTCCAAATTGAGAGCACCAGTGGGAATGCAGACAAAGAAACCTGTACTTACCATGTAGATCTCAGGAGGAAGAGTGGGGCCCTAGGAGAGAATGGAAAAACATATCTAAGTGTTCTCCTTCAGGACCCAAACAAAGCCTATCTACTGTGAAGGGAAAGGTGTGCTACTTGATTTCATAATAAAATTGCATACCCTCAGTTTAAAAAGACCTCCTGACACTGCACCAAATCCATCTTTTTATATGGTATTCTGTGCCTATCTTTCATTGAACCACCAATTCTAGCTTGGCTGTTAGTGGTTACATTTTAAACGGTTTAGTGTTTTAATTCTGTGATCCTTGCAAGTTCTTTCCAGTCTGAGACTCCATTTGCATTTAAAAGGTTAAATCATTACCATAAAAGAGTACCACACTAAAAGCCTAGACAAAATTGGCCACTGGAATCTCTGCCTTTGGGTTCTCTCCTCAGTTATAATTGGCTGTGAATTCGATTCCTTTGTAATACCAAATGGTCAGATTATTCTGTGTGTGGGCGGAGGGGGAGAGGGGGATAGGTTATTGATGAGATACAGAAACAAGACAGAATAAATGATCTCCAGAGACCATCCTCTGTGTGAGATTCACTTAAAAGCTTGTCTCCTACAGGAAACCCCTTTCTGTTAAATGGAGAGAAGAAGGAAAGGCAAAAACAACCAATATTTATTGAATTTCCAGCATCTGCCAGCCAGAGAGCTCATGTTCTCTTACCTCGTTTAACCCCACCACAGTCAAGGAATGTAGGTACCATTATTCCAGTTTCACAGCATGCAAGCAGAGAGACTGAATAACCCAACCAAGGTCTCACAGCTAATACCTAAATGGGTGTCTTTTTTTTTTTTTAAAAAAGAACTTTTTTAAAAAATGCCCATGACCCTCAGAACCATCAATTCTGATTTTAGTGGTCTGCAATGCAGCCTGGGCATCAAGAGTTTTAACATCTCTTGAGTGATTCTAATGTCCAAACACGGGTGAGAACCACTGGTATAGTTTAATATCAACTCTTTACAGATAAGGAAATTGAGGTCTGGCCATTATTATTCTCAGTATTTAACTGCAACATCTGGTCTTCCCACAAAGAACCCCAATGATAAGGTGCATGAGAATGTTTTGTCTGTTATGTTTTCCATTGTATCCTGAGCACCTAGAACAAGGTCTGAGAAGAGGAGGCACTCAGTAAGTACTTACAGAGGGAATAAATGAATAAGCACTTTCCTGGTTTTTATTTCACAAGCACATAAACCAGAACCAAACCCGTTGCCCTCAACTCGATTCCGACTCATAGTGACCATACAGGACAGAGTAGAACTGCCCCGTAGGGTTTCCAAAGAGCGCCTGGTGGATTCAAACTGCTGACTTTTTGGTTAGCAGCCACAGCTCTTAACCACTATTCCACCAGGGTTTCCCACAAGCACATAGCAAGGGCTTATCTGTGCCAGGCACTGTCCTAGGTGCTGGGGATCCAACACTGAGTCAGACCAAGAATATCTCTGTTGTTCTGGAGCTTCCATTTCAGAGCAGCGCTGTCCAATAGAAATATATTGTAAATCCTGTGTGTCACTTTAAATTTTCTAGTAGCCACACTAAAAAAGTAAAAACCGAACAGATAAAATTAATTTTTATAATATATTTTATTTAGCACAATATATTCAGGATCCTATTTTAACATGCAATCAATATAAAAAATATTTTTACAACTTTGTTGTTGGCTGCTGTTTAGTCGGCCCCTGACTCATGGTGACCCCATGCATAAAGGATCAAAATGCTGCCTAGTCCTGCACCACTCCCATGATTCGTTGTGGATCAGACCATTAAGATACATAGGGTTTTCACTGGCTGATTTTCAGAAGTAGATTGCCAATCCTTTCTTCCTAGTCCATCTTAGTCTGGACGCTCCACTGAAACCTATTCAGCATCATAGCAACATGCAAGCCTCCACGGACATATGGGTGGTGGCTGTGCATGAGGTGCGTTGGCTAGGAAGAGAAACCGGGTATCCTGCATGGAAGGTGAAAAGTCTACCACTGTTACCGAAGTATTAATTGACATACTATAAAATACCCAATTATAAAAAATTCTGAGTGGGATTTTTACATTCACTTTTAACACTGAGTCTTTGCAATCTGGTGTGTAATGTACACTTACAACACATCTCAGTTTGGACTAGCCAGCATGTCAAGTGCTCCATAGCCTCATATAGCCAGTGGTTACTGTATTGGGCAGTGCAGTTCTAGAGGGTGAGACAGACAATAAAAAGGTAAACAAACATGCAAATGATAGAATTTGAAGTCAGTTATTTTAGAAAGGGTGAAGAAAGGCCTGTTTAAGGAGATGAAATTCAGCAATTTAGGAATGACTTTGTTATGTTAATGAGGCAGTAGAGTGTGTTTTAAATCAATTTCTTTTGAGATGTAAAAGAGCAGATTAAGCAAGAAAGCAAGCACAGACACAGGGGAAGATACACATGATTGCCAAGGAACCTACGAACAGAACGTGAAGAGACAAGGACCTTCCCCCAGAGCAGCCAGAGAGAGAAAGTGAGCCTTCTGCTAGAGCCAGCACCCAATATTCGGACTTTAAGCCTCCTAAACTGTGAGAAAATAAATTTCTGTTCGTTCAAGCTACCCACTTGTTGTATTTCTGTTATAGCAGGACTAGACAACCAAGACAGAAAGTAGAATCAATTTTTTTAAATCAAATTTTAAAAACTCCCTTATAGCTGAAATTTTACCAAAATTCAATGATACTTAAAATATTTTTTCAACACCTACTTGGGACTGTTGATATGTTGAGATACATAGCTCTCTGGTCTTCGGTAGTTTTTTAGGTGAAGGGGTAATAATTCATTCTTTTCATCCTCTAATTAATATCATAACTGTCCACTGAGGGACTTCTGGCAAAATGGCGCTCTAGGCAGAAGCACCATGCCGTCCCTCCACAGCAAAGATCCGAAAAACTAAGCTGAACAGAGAAAACAACAATCCTGAAACCCTAAAACATCAAATGAAGAGATAAAGAACTCAGCCAAGCACCAAATGCAGTGAGAAAACTGACAGAGAATGGAGAGC